GCAGTGGGAAGGGACAAGAGAAAAAAGGGTTTGTTCTTTTGTTAACCCATCATCGTAATTCCTTACTTGCTGTGAATGCATTTACTTAGAACCAGTCTAGCTGACCTATTGACGCGTATTTATGGTTAGCAATAGCTTTAGAGAAGAGAACTCATCTAAGATAGTTTGAACCATTAATCTCTGTTCTAATGACCAAATACTTTTTGACACTTGTGTTGGGGCACAAAGAGCGAGTCCTGGTTCCACCTTCTGTTCATGTGTCATAAGATGATATATGCAATTTCCACATCGTTTACTTCCCCTTGGAAGATTTATTACAGGACATAGTAAGGCGTATAGCGCAGGTCAGTGGTTTTTATTAACGTTTGGGTTTTCCGATGTGCAGGTATCAAGCTGGAGAGACTTCATGAAAGCAGGGAAGAAGGTAAGAGACGCATTGTTAACTTGTAAAAAGCATGTGTTGGTGAATTATTGTAATGTTTTCGTGGGAAAGGTTTCAATCTAAGCCTATGTTGATTCATCCCGCAGGCCAAAAAAGGAGAGACGCGTCCTCCAAAATTGAAGACAGAGGATCCGAACAAATCATACGTCCAAAGGCCGGTCAAGAAAGGCTGATTTCTCCGATCTTCTTTTGCTGTTGTTGACATTGATAGATTGGTCCTCTCGAGTATGATCTCTGACTCTTGTGTCTGTGTTTCTCTTTGTACATCACCAACTTCATTTGTCTTTCCAATTACATTAGTAACATGGAAGAGATATATAATGATGTCTCACTTCTCACACGCTTATGACCTTAGTTTTGTATTGCATCTCAGTCTATATTATTTCTTTAGACTTTAGATATTAACTCTTTTAAGTCATTCCAATTCTTCTTCACTGAATCTAAATGAAACATACTCAATAAGAGAGAAACGAATGTTTTCATATAACTTCTTGTCATGATACAGAAACAAATTACACAAGATCATATGTTACAACAGTGATGTAAATTGAGATGGGTTTTTTATTTGGCGAAAGATGCACTAATCAATAATAGTCTCTGTAATACTTCCTCTGGTAAGTAGGAGGATTGTTCTGCTGAACTGCTTGAGCAGTAACTACTGATTCGTCTGCATAGTTCTTCCTTCAGGTTCCTCGAGATACATCTGGTCATCTAAGTAGGCCTTGATATCGCTTATGAATTGTGCATCATAGTACTTTTCTGCCCTCAATTTCGCCAAGAAATGCTCTCTGAAAACACACACAACTTTCAAGAACTGAGTTTTGTACCTCCGATGAAGACCAAATCCTGCTGTCTGGAGGAAGCCGTGAAAGGCTGTTGCAGTAGCTCTGTTGTTGGCAGAGATTTTGTTAAGGAACCGAGCAAACCAAGCCCATCCGTGTTCAATCCCATGGATGTTACCACAAACATCGGTCCGGACAAGTGCCCCGTAGAGTCTCATTATGGACTGTATGCGTTTATAATATGTGTCTGAGTTGTCGCAAGCTGATACAACATGCTTTGGGACTGTGTAAATGCAAGCTTTGTGGAACTCAGCAAGAAGAATATCCATAGCTTGTGGAAATTGTGAGGTGACGTAAACAATGACGGAGCAGCACGCAAATGGGAAGTTGTTTCCCCAAGCGGATATCACCATCTTCTTCGCGAAAGTTGCGATACTGATGGACACGGGACAACGAGGGTCCTTGGATAGTTTGACAATCTCATCGGCTCTTGCACTTGCATTATAATTTGTTATCTGCTTTATCACTCTATGAATACGGTTTTCAAAGCTGCTAAAGTCCTGATTTGAACTCGATTTTAGCGATTGCTTCTAACTCGATTAGAGCTTCTTCGATCCATGCTTCTCCAATCTCAAAGCACTTTCTGCTGCTTGAACATTCGTTGCAGCCTCTGAACGAGATTTTTCTTGACGTATCTTATCTTCTTGATTTGTCCTTTGTTGGCGTCGGACTGCAGAGAGATAAGTAGCGAGTGCTTGAGCAACTTGTCCTTGATCAAGATTCCGTTCCACTTGTTTTCGATCCTCTCTGTACTTTTCAATCCGAGTTATCGCAGAACGACAATTTTCAATCTCTTTGTCAACAAAAAGTAATACTTGATTCTTTATAATATCCTCCATAACTTGAGTTTCGTGGTCCTTGATCATAAATCTGTCCATCGCAAGCAAAACGTTTCTTCTCGGGTGTACGACTATGA